AATCTTCATTTTTAGCAATGACAAAAGCTCATGTGTGAAAGTATTTCTTTTATTTGAAGTTGGAAGAATCAGGGATTCTGGATAAGAAACGTATCTAAATCCATGCTTTTGTCAGTGGTATAGTGATTTTCCAAGTGTAGCTTAGATGTGGCACAAGGCCGAAAGTATGGGGCACCCAGTGAGAATCGAACTCAGTATTCAGTCGTAAATGTTTTAGCGAGACAAGCTTGCTAACCATTAAACCACGCCGAGGTGCCCCTTTCGTCAGTGGTATATAGTTGATTTCAATTTACAATGATCGCTTAGAATTCAGGGGAGACAATCTGTTCTTAGGATAAGGGGAGATAATCACAGCAGTTCATTATTGGAAAGAAAAGAGTAGAGTAAAAGTGCATTATTTTCTAAAATAAACATTCAGTGAAAAAAAAAAAAAACTGGTGAAAAGATTAAATTGTTAGGTTGGCATATTTTCCCATCACATTGAAATATCTATTTAATCAGATCGCTAGAAGACTTTCTTTAGTAGCAAAACTTAAAATTCGGTGACAGTTCAATTCAGCACTATCAAAATTCTTACAAAAAAATCTACTTTATCTATACAATTACTGCTTTTGTTACATGCAAGAAAATAACCTGGTCTCCCTACTTAGTAATGAGAACCCATTGCTATGATGACCCATGTTGGCATACAGACACTTATTGGCATAGAGAGACAGTTACCATTACCATAACAATGGAATATCTTATCTTGAATAGGATGATTAGGATGCTTGGCTAACAAAGATATCAAGTCACATATTTTATACAATGGAATAGATTGATAAATAGTCTTAAAGGAAGTTTTAAAACTATTTTCTTCAGATTTGTCTGAATAAATTATTTCAGATATGGCTTGACAGAATGCAGTAGCTCTAACTTTCTCATTTCATTAGATCAGTCATATTTTGAGATCAACAAAAATAATAGTGAATTTCATAATTACTTACTTGATAAGTTTCTTGTACATAATATATTGGCACCATCGAAATCGGTCTCCAGGATCAATGTCTTCCATGTTTCCATAGTGGACAAACTGAAAGTAATCCCTACTATAGGGCGAAGATGTCACATAACCAAGGAACACCGTTGGATTTTTACTGAAAGGAATGAAGAAGTCATTAAAGACTAATAGAAATCCACCAGAAACGAAATGGTCAGTAGTTAACCAATGATTTTATACAGACATCTGATTAGAAAGCATGAAGAGATTGGAGGAAGATGCAGCCATTACTTGGAGCTTATTTTGGTTAAAGTCTTTAGCAAACAGGAGGTCATTATATATAATGCATACTAAGTAATAATTAATACATACTAAAAGGTATCTAATACATATTAAGATATCCTTAATACCTACAGACACATACTAAGAGGTTCTTAATTGTCTGGTACTTTTCCTTTTTTTTTCCTTCTTTAAATACTGTGTTCCTTCAGGACAATAGACAACCATGGCTCTCCAGATATCTTTTATTTATTATCTGTGATTTGCCATCATGTCTTGGGAAAGATAGAATGGTTTCTCATTATTTTCTTCTCAGTTTGGAAGTTGGAGGAGTAGATCTTTTTCTAAACTAGCTTTCACTCAAGGCTAGAAAAAAAATAAAACAGTCTATTTAACCCATAACTTTTTAAAAACAGATGAAATTTGAGATCTTTTAAAAAAATTACAATAAATATAATTGAAATTTTATGGAATTCATTTTTTTTTTTAAATAGACAAAAACAAACAACAAATCTTTTAAGAAAAATTAAAGTTTAGATTTTTCTTGAAAGTTTTAAAGTGCTTTATTTCTGTTAAATTTCATTAATGATTAGAACAGAAAATTTTATATAGAAAAGTAAACTTAGTTGTCTTCTTAAAATAAAATCTAATAAAAATTTTAAATTGTTAAATTTAATTTTTGTTGCTTGAAATGAGTTTAACACATCAATATTAATTAATAAAAAGAAAAAAAAGTTAATATAAGCATCTGCAATATTATTGGTCCTGGCCTGGCAGCTTGGCTTCAATCACTTTCCCACTGCCATAACAGATTCCCTATGCCTTTTCTATAAACAGTTTCATAGTAATTGTTCTGATTTACTCATTGGTACCTGAACTTGATTGGCAGCTAGGTGTCATCATTTTCCTGTCAAAATTGCTAGATGTATCCATGAGTTCTATTTTAATAGTTTCTTTACTTGCATTTCTTGTCTGTAAAACTCTTCTGGTTTCTTGCTTTCCTGCCAATTATGATCTTTGAAAATTTAAATGCAATGTCAATCCTCATTTCCGTCTCCTTGAATCCTATTCTTTTATTTTCCTTTCTCCTCACTAACATTTTCCCAGTTTCTTTCACTTTCATTAACCCTTCTATCTTAGTGGCTTTATTTCCTTGCTTGGAGTGAAGTGATTAAAACTATTTCACAGAAATTAGATTAGAAACATTAAGAAAGAAAATTAGAAAGCCTCATTGAAATCAATTTGACCTGAATATTTCCACAACAATCTGCTGCCTTATTGGTATATTGCTCATTTGTTTGAATTCAGAGAGAATTCACTTGTTTTTGAATAGTTGTTTGCTTTATCTTAACAAAACTAAGAAACAAGCAAAAATCAGATTGGTCTGTATGTAAGAAGTTAATGCAAATACAACAAAATCAGGTAATTAAAATCTACAGAGAAATTTGATATTTTCCAAGTTTAGCTTAGCAAAAGCCCAAGGCTAAATTTTGAAAAATAAGATTAGTTTTGATAATTTTTCAAGTGGAGAAGATCTACCGGTCTTCTTTGAAAATGAATTCAATGTCCTAGCTTTTATCAGGGCTCAAACACAGACATCTTGTGCTGGTGGCAGAAGAGCAATTATCTAACCCACCAAGTACAGAGTGAAGCATCTTCCAGTTAACACGAACAAATAAAAGAAATGATGGAAGACCAAACAGATGGAGATGACATGGAGGTTGTAAATATAATTTGAGGAAGCATTTTTCTTTTTCTTTTGTCGATTGATGCATTGCATATTGGTTTAAGATTAATCAGTATGAAGTAAATATGGTAGGTAAATAAAAAGATAAGGGTGCAAAATAAGAACTAAGATAATTTCTAGTGATAGAGAAATAAATAAAAATAAATAATAAAACCAAAATTTCACCAATCAAAGCTTTCATAACTAGGATAAAAGAAATAAAAAATACACAAATGATAACAAGGAGTCCAAAATTTCAGCATCTCTAAAAATACATGTATATTCAAAATCACCAGGCCACAAAGTCATAGTTTGACCAACCAATCAGAAAGTTTCCATAACCAGAATATAAAGAAGTGAGCCAATGAGAAAGAGGCACTTTCAAAGTGTATCTATAGATGTGTATATAATCAGATGGAAAATGAACCAAAACAAGAAACGATAAATTTTTGTCTATTCGCCAATGCTGTGATGGTCGTAACATATACCTTTTTTTTTTTTTTTTATCACCAATTAAATAGCAGGTGGCTACTACATTTGGATACATGCATACATACACACATTCATACCTCAGTATTAGGGACCCCACTTTAATGGATATTGAAAGTTACAGACAAAATCTGAAGCAGCCAACTCAAGTTGTAAGTCCATCATGCTATGGATGGAGTTGTGGCAACACTAGATATAAGCTGCTGCTTTACAAGCTGACTGCTGATTGGCAGGCTATCACTTTGCTTGCATCATTGTAACCACACATGTAGCTTATTGTCCCATGGATTTTCCTCCTTTGAATGTGCCAGTGTGTTTAAGTGGCTTTATATTTATCATTTTCTATAACCATGATGTCTTGGGGAAGAGTAGAAATGTGGAAAGGGGTGAATTTAACAGTATCCCAAAATAATGTATATTTACAGTGTATAGGTATTTTGCAGTGTCAGATTTGATAGCATGCTTGATTAAATGTACAATACTATATCATTATTCTTTCTTTTGTAATGTAATTGTTGATATAACCATAACGAATGAGTTTGTATCTATGGACAATCAGCATTATTGGACAGATCTTTTAAAACAAGGTATGAGTGTACATATATATTTATTACTTCCTGGACTCTTTCACAAACTCTCGTATGCACCAGGATTTTTACATTTTAACTCTTGAAACTTCAACTATTACCTTATCATTCTGTTTGCTATTCAAGCATTTAAAAAAAAAAAAAAAAAAAAAAAAAAAAAAAAAAAAAAAGAAAAAAAGAAATAATTATTTAAACAATAAATAAAAAAACAACAAAATACACCTATATTTTCAAAAAGTTTAGAAAACCCCAGAATATTCAATTAAAATATGAGCCCTGTCTTTGACACCAAAAATAACATTGTTACATATCTTTTGATACTCAGAACTGAAAGGTAGAGGAAAAAAAATAAAAGGAATGAAAGAGTATAAAGAGAAAAGAAAATTTTGAAAATAAAAAATAAAAAAATATATTCTACATATGTGCACATAAACACACATACTGATGTACATGCACATCTATATACACACATGAACACAAAAAAGAAAAAAAAATCAACCTAACAACAATAAAGGTGCATAAATTATGCATATTTTTAACTTAATATAAAAGTAACAAAAATGAGAAAAATCAACTGACAATTGCTAATACCTCCTGATGAGTGGACCAAATAATTGCACTCTGGAGTAGAGGTGCTGAATATAACAATTAGCTAAGTAACAAATTTTATATTTGTATTACTCCTAATCTTGGCTTGTTAAATTTATCTTATTTTATATTTTTCAGCACTTTGTGCATTTTCTTTTAATCATCACACAAGTCGTATATACACCTAAACCAAATATAACAATATATGGTGATAACCTATAAACAATCCATAACCTCCCTACCATCAGAAATTCACTTTAAAAAATGTATCAATAAATAAAGATTTTTTTTATTTTTTTTATTTCATGAAGAATAAATAATTATTTTTATGCATACCCTATGGTAAACTTACCATTTTCTCAATTCTTTGGACAAGAACTTGGCTTGCTGTTTCCTGTCTTCATCATCTCTGTGATTTCCCATGTGAGTAACAACGAAATCTACCAAAGAGCCGCTTACATTTACTGTAGCTGTTATTGCTGGAGCCAGTTCACCTGCAGAAGAAAAAAAAATGAAAAACCTCATTGAGTTATTTGATTAAAAAAGATATTTTTAATTATGGCTTTTATAAAAGGGTTTAAAATATTACATTTCTGCTAACATTGTTCCCTTGCATGGTAACTACACTTTAACAATTTCAGCTTTATAAAGATGTTATGTAAAAGAGGTAATTATGAATTACTTTTTTTTTTTCAGTTCAACCTGACTTCTATACTTGATTTTTTAAAATAGGGAAATCAGAATGATTCCAATGATTAAGAACTTTCAACATCAAATAGTTTTTAGACATTTCAACAGACTACCAAAATGATGCTTCCCCGGGGCCAAAATCCAATACAATCTTAACCACTTCAAGTCTACTGTCAACCATTATTTATTTTACATATCCACGTGATCTACAAATACTTTTCCCCCACACCACTTACGGCAATGCAACATCATTCACTAACCTTTTACCTTGAGTAGCTCTTGGGCCTTGTATCGTGTGAACATTTTAGTAAAAAAAATAAAAATAAAAAATAAAAACAAACAAACAAAAACGAATTCAATATAAAAAACACATTTAATTTGCAAGGGGCAATAACTCAGTTTAACATTATGACAATTTTAATAAGAGACGAAAATAACACGGAGTCGCTTTGTTCAAATGTTAGGAATTATAAATTACAAACGGTTTTTAGTTTGTAAACCATTGTTGAGCTGGATTTGACCATACAGACATTACACATTTCCAAGTCACCAAGTCTTTGTATATTTTTCAAAATAAATTTTCTTTTATTTGGGTTTAAATGCAATTATTGACTTTGTTTATTGTTACTTTAAGTAAGATATAGGAATTATTGACTGATATAAAAATATTTCCAAAAGATATTTTTTTAATCATTTCATCCCAAAACAAGGCGATAAGGCCATTAAAACAAAAGGGGTTACTAGTTTTGTTTTGTTTCTACTTAGGGCTTCAACACCTAAAGAGTTATTTAAGGTCAGATAAAGGTTTTGATTTGTGGTTGCTTTCAGTATAGCTTGATATTATATGTGGATCAGTGATAGTTTTGGAGACAGGTTAGTTAGTAAAATTTTTTTTTTCTTTTTAATCAGAGATGCTGGTTTCTAATACAAGTTATTTTGCATTCAGTTTCTGATCCAAGTTGGTTATAAGAGTTTGCAATGTTACCTTTAGTAGCGATCTTTATGAAGTTTGAAAGGTTCTTTTTCTTTCAGTTTTCAAAATTTATTAAAAGGTTTTATGTAGTTGCTATATTTCATAGTTTTGTATTTTGGTATAAAGTTTGATTTCTTTTAAGAGGCTAAGTATATGGTTTGGTTTAATGTTTTGAAAGAGTTCTCATATTTTGTCCCGATTTGACTGAGATGTTGGCAACTTATGAGTATATGTTTGACATCAAGAGGTACTTGACATCTGTTGCATTTTTTTTAGTAAGTGTACCAAATGTGTATGTCTTCTTTGGAGTTTGAATAAAACTATTTCCTCCAGTTTTATTTTTCTGAAACCTTCTGAAACCTGGGAAACTTTCTCTGAGAGTTGGCTGAATATTGTATAGTTTTGAGTACCATATTGCATACCATTTTTTTTTTATACATTCTTTGTTTTTTTGTTTCTGATGTCTGTATGGTGTATCTTTATATTGGTTGTCATCATATTGAGGCATCTTTAGTTAGTTTATTTGCTATTTCATTGCCTGGTATACCAAGATAACTTGAAATCCAAATGAGGATGACTGATTTCTGTGATTTAACTATTTCAGTATAAGTTTATAGTATATCCATGGATGTTTGGAATTTCCTTGTTTCAGAGCTGCAAGACTTGATACAGAATCTATGAATCTGATGAATTTCTGGTTGTTAGAATTTTTAATGTGTTCAAGTGCCATCTTAATGCTTCAATCTCAGCTTCAAATAGGGAATCTTGATTTGGTTGTCTAATCTGTTTGTAAAACTGTCTGCCCATAGCTGTTGCTCCTGTTTTGAGTTTTTAAAGACTTCACTATATACAGCTCGATATTGCTTCTATTTATGATGTTATTTGTTGTGTTGCATTAGTGTTAGGTCTATATAAGATTTGTCAAGTATCCATGGAGGTGACTTAGTAGGGTTAAGGTAAGCTATGATGTTGGGGGAAATTGTTTATTTGTGTGGGTGCTTCTTTGATTTGGTGAATAAAGAGGGGATGATTAATGGTTTACTGGTGTAAAAGTGTGCGTATTGTAGCTTGAAAGTTTTAATGACTATTGTAGGGCTATTTTTTCAAACCTTAGATATGATGGAGGTTCACTGACCTCTATGTGAAGGCTGTCCATAGTCGAAATTTGGAAGGCTTCACAAATTCATACATAGTAGAGAATTCATATTAGACAGACCATCATCCATTATTGTCCATATATGGATAGAAAAAAAAAAAAAAAAAAAAATAAAGGTTTTCCCACACATACAGTGAATAGACTGCAGTGCTGGGGAACTATCCTACTGAACTATAATTATAAAATGGAGTTTCTAACAACCAAAAAATTAAGTCATGCAGCTGGATTGTCTAGACTAATACAAAGATTCTGCAGTAATTGTGCCGATAAGGGCCGAAAGTGAAATTAATAATGTACTATGCAATACTGTAAGAGAACTGCCTATAACATTGGAGGAAATAAGGATTAAGTTGGAAAAAGACAACTTTATAATGAAAATGAAGGAGAAATTAAGATTTAAAGAAAAAATATTACTGGAAATAATGCATTTTCATTACGTAATGATGTACACAGAAAGAATTGTGATACCAGCATTGTTGCAAAAATGTATGCTAAAGGAATTTCACATAGGGCATCTGTGAATTTCTAGCATGAAATCCTTAATGAGGTGTTATACATATTGGCCAAAAATGGATCAAGATATTGAAAATTTATTGAAATCATGCAGAGGTTGTGCTCTGGCAGCAAAGTCATCGCCTATCAAAGTTCAACCTTGGCCAAAAACTGATATGCCATGGTCCAGAATACATATAGACTTCACAGGACAGTTATACGGAGCATAATATCTAGTGGTAGTTGATAGTTACACTAAATGACCAGAAATATTGAAATGTAGAAGACTGACTACCGCGGTAAAGATAAATTTCCTACATGAGATTTTTGCAAGGTTTGGTGTTCCTGACTATTGTTTCAAATAATGCAAAATGCAGCAATAGAGTATATTACAACTCCCCTTTATCCCCAAGATGGTTTGTTGATACTTTTAAAAGGGAATTAAAAAAAAAATCGGAGGGAGAGGAGTCAGTTGAAATAATGCTACAAATTTTGAGTGTTTACAGAATAACACCAAACCCAAATACTGTATCTGGAATGCTGTCTGCAGAGTTGGTGCTCGCCAGGAAGAGCAAGTCTGTATTTAACAAATTACTATCAGAACGGAAGATGAGAACATCAAGGAATCAAAATAATATAAATAAATATTTAAAACCTGGTGATAAAGTGTTTTTCAAAATGTACCAATGTGGAAAAGAATTCTGGGAAGATGGCATTATTAAAAAACAGATTGGCAAAATAATATACATGGTACAGGGACAAGGTGGGAACATAAGTGACATCTTAATCAGTTGAAATGGAGATACACTGATTTAGTAAGTCCACAAAAAGAGGTACCAATGGAAATATTGTATGATATGTTTGACGTACCCATACCACCAGAAATTAGTGAACCAAGGTGGTACAGTAAAATAAAAGAAAAGCAACAGAACATCTGAATATTGAAGTGAAGCTGAAGAAATACAGACTCCAGAGAAAGTCATCTCAAAGGGGAGGTGTTATATAGGAATAAAGTGTCGATGACGACACTCGAGTTGAACATAGATCACCAATGAGCAAACACAGGCAATCCCATTATTGAATTATGTAGACCATGTGACCATAGCAGAAACACATAAGTAGGAAGTAGTGTGATGTCTAAATCACTATTTCTAGTCTAACTTCTATACTATATGAATCTGTTATCTCTACTCTATCCTTATATGGACTGCTATTCTCTACTCTATTCACTATATTATTTCTCTATACTATTTCACTATATGGTAATTACTATTCAAGCAAATATTATTGAGCTAGTACTATTAGTGCAAGATTATTCGAAGGGGTCTAACACCAGTATTGCTCAACAGCATGCTATAGTTGTATCTGTGATTACAAAGTCTCTACTACAATGAGCATTACGACAGTGACAACAAGTATTCGTGGACATCACAAAAGTGGCAACAAGTGTTTGTTGACATCACAAAAGTAGTGACAAAGATTTGCAAAGATTTCTTGAACTTACATGAGGATTTGTTCAGCAGAATACACCAAAATGGAAGAACTAAAAGCTATTATGGTTCAAATGTTGGTGCTACAGAAGCAGCAACAAGAACAGTAGTTGAAGCAATAAAAACAACAACAACAACAACAACATGAACAGCAATTACAACAACAGAAGTTTTGTGAGTTGTTTACCAAAACCATGGAAGAAAAAAAACTTCAGATTCATTCACTCCAGATGCTGTTTCTAATTCAATTAGGGAATTTGTGTAGAATTCAGATGAAGGGATAACTTTTCCAGCTTATTATAGAAGATACAAAGGGATCTTCAAAAGGGATTGTTTGCATTGAAATGATGAGAAGTTTTTTAGCAAGATTTATGAGTGAACCTGTAGCTTATGTAGCCATAATTTGATTTGGATCTTATGTAAATAATTTAAATAAAGAAATCATCTTTTCTCCATTAAGTGAAAGGTAGTGAGGGTGAGGCTTGTTTTGTTAGTTGTGATCCATTTTTCTAAATTTTATTTATCGGGTTCAATTTCTGGCCTTTCTAACGTTCATCTAAATATTTATTTCATTAATTCACTTTTTAACTTCATTTAACTTTTCTGCTTTGTTTTGATAAATCCTTCAGGTTTAAAGAAGCTTTTTTTGAACTGGTTACTTGAATTTCACTAACCTCAATCAGACACAGTTATTATTTACAAAATTCACCTTTTCTCAATCGACTACCAATTGTCTTTCAGGCAGGATCTGCCTCCTTACTCAAGAGAGTGGCACTGAGTGATGGTACTAGAAACCCTTCCAGTTACAATTCTTCTTTTCACGAGAAAATTTCTGTGACCTACAAATGGTTTTGAAAGAAGATACTTACCATGTGGAGAGGGCAGCAAATGATGTACAGATTTGACTATTGGGTATTTGGAAAGAATCAAATTCCTACAGAAAGAAAATAAAACACAAACTGAGATTATTTATATAGTGTGTTTATAACTTGTATGTATACAATGCAGAAAACTTCAGGAAATGTTAGGGAAGCTTAATCTACACAGAAAGGATACAAATAATCATCAATTTTTATCAAGAAATACAAATTGTATGCAAATAGAGAATGAATCGAGTGAGTACATCAGAATAAGATGACAAGGATGGGTTTTCTCACTGGATTTATTTAAATTGTACAATGAAAAGATTCTAATTCTGAATTAGAAGGCCTATCAAGATTTATAATTGGCAAACCTAAACAAACAACATACACTACGCAGATGGCACTGTGTTGATGATAAATTCAAAAGGAAAACTGAAAGAACAATTTGACCAGTGGTTCTCAACCTTTTTTGCTTAATGCACCCTTTTCACCAAGTTAGAATGATTTCCCCCCCACTTTCCAAGATTGTCTGACTGAAAAGGTGCATTCCAAATAATATGCATATAAAACCTTCATTCTTCTTTCATATTAGTACATATACATTTGCATGGACTATTTTTATAGGGGAGTTTTACAAATTTAATAGCAATAGAAAATGTGGATATTTTTTTAAAACCTGAATACATATACAGGGTGGTCCGAAAGTCTTGTCACCCCTATCTAATATTCTAGTTCAGATGGCTGTTAGGGTTACAAGGGGTATGGGGTGACAAGACTTTCAAATCACCCTATACAGTAATTTGTTTTAATTCATAACTAAATAAATGAATAAACTAAAGCAGACTTCAATAAACAAAAAGTTCAATAAAAGGTCAGGGTATTTAAATTGATTTTATTTTGATGAAGATGACAGTCAATGAGAAACTTGTAAAAAGTGAAAGACCCTTCTCCATCTGTGCATTGGGGTCAGGGAATTTCCTCCAGGCTGAGGACCACTGAATTAGACAAAATAGAAGAAAGAACTAAGGATCAATTGTAATAAGAAATAATGCATGGTGGTGAGCAAAAGGGAGGACCCAAAGCTTGGGTTATGCATTGGGAATGTTGAAATCAACTGAGCAGGGTACTAACAAAGTCTGACATAATCTGAAGGTTGAAAGGATAACTGAAAGATGCTTTTCAGAAAATGAGTAATGTATTAAGGAATTCAAAAATATTATTAGAAATGAAGAAAAGAGTGCTGCACTAACGTCTAACATCCTATATGGCAGTGGATGCTGGGAAATTTTGTCACAAATGAAGAAAAAAAGATTGAAATGACCAAGATGTAGTTTTGTCAATGAATGCTGAGAATATCATGAACTGAGTATATGATAAATGAGGAAGTTTTAATATGAAAGAGAATTACAAAAAGAAACTTGCCTATCACAAAGTAATGTAAAAGTCTGGTGAAACATAAGAAAGAAAGAAGGTTTGGAGACAAACATGAATAAGGCACATCAAAAGGCAAAAGAAACAGAGGAAAGCTGTAAAAGATAAATAATACATTTGTTCGTAGGATAGGCAAATAACCATTGAACTTTGACAGGTACTCACCCCCAAGTATGTTTCTTAGTTGCAGGTCCAAAATCAACGTGCATGCCAAGCTTCTCCCCAAACCACATACCAAGATCATTATTACCAAGAAAAGGCTTGGAAGCATCACTTTCCAGTAATGTAATGAAATCAGCACCTGGAGAAAGATTTATCAATGAGGTTTTACTAGCGGTCACCCATTTAAAACATTTTCCAACATTATCAGTAACTTATTAACTTCAATTTGTAAGAAACCAATGAATTTAGACAAGAAATGTAATAAAGGATAAACTACAAACCACTTTGTTGATGTTAATTAAGTTTCTAAAAATTTATTTTTAATCATTTTTTTAAAAACTGAAGTTCACTCACAAGGCTAGAGGGTCACTCAAGGTAGAGGGTTAGTGTTCTAATGATGAATGAGGTGTGTAACATGAAAAGAAAGCAAAGGTTGTAAAAAGCAAAGATTTATAAAATGATTTATATATGAATCTACCTCCACGACATGGCCTATAAATCAATCTACCTCCACAACATGGTTTATATATGAATGTATATTTATGAAATGGTTTATATTTCAATCTACCTTTACTATTAAAAATGATGGCAATACTTAAGTAATTTTGCTGTTGATTATATTTTCTGCATGACTTATCTGGGATATTTATGTATACAATTATGTATACAAGAAAGAATCCTCTTTTTAAATCATTAAATTATGTAAAGAAATAAAGAAGCAATATATTAGCAACATGATATCCCCTACTTGCTAATGTAAATCTGTTGTTATGGTAACACAAGGCATGTTCATTTATTGGCAGAAAGCCTCCTGTTACAATAACAATGGAATGTATGATTAAAAGATATAAAGTAATTTTGTGTTTTAGATTATATGATGGATATTAATTTTAATAGAAATTCTCTATAATTATGGATATGCAGAATTTTGGGTGCATATTCATTAAAGAAATTTAAAAAAAATATTCAATGCAATTGTATAAAAATGTATGAAACTTAAAATACAGAAGTTAGATTACACAAAAGCAAGGTTTTAAAATGTGGTGCCCAAAAACTAAAGAAATATTGATCCAGATATTTGTAGATTTAATACAAGATGGCTTCCATAATGCAATTCAGTTTTAAAAATATTACATGTATTGAGCAAATGAATGACAAAATAGAAAACTTATTAGTGATGGGTTTTGTTCTGAGAAGGAACATCTACAGATTAATAACAGTTTCAATGATAGAATATGTCTCGTATATAAAAGGCAGGGGGTACAACAAGTTCCTGTTAGATGTCTGTCTGGATTTCTGGGATGAGGAGTTATTATTTATGCTATTTACATTTGGACTATTGTTCTCATCTTTGTTACTGTATATTGATCTGGGTAACCTACGGGAAATTCTATGGGATAATAGCCTAGTGGATTAAAGCATTGGTTTGTGTATTTGGTCACATAATTATGAGTTCAATCTCTGGGATGAGCAGTACATATAATCAGTGGAAATGGATGAGCAATAAATGAGCAGTACTAATAAATAAGAGCTAGACAAAATAACACTAGACATGGGCAGTGGAATGAGAATGGTTTACTCCTGTAGATTAAATTAAATAAAGGGCTCAGTTCAAAATTCTCTTTAGGTTACCTGGATCAATATACACCTGATGAAGGCCAGAAGGCACAACAGTCGAAACAATCAAGATCAATTAGAAACTTATTAGGCTTCTGATCCCTTTTATTTCATCATGGTCGTTTGCAATTATCACATTTGTACTAGTAGTAATTTTTGTGAGAAAAGGAGACATGTTGTATGATTCTGGATGTAAAGTGACTGTACAGGATTCCTAAATTAGTGAACTTTTAATACATTTTCACCCCAATAAATCTCTCTTTTAATCAGATTTGAAATCACTCCATTCGTGATGCCTGCTTCTTTCGATTCATGTTTAACTAAGCAGAAGATTTTTCCTCTAATAGGTTGTTTCTTTTTACAGTAGATTGGTTGCCAACTAAGGTTATAGGACGCAGTCTGTCTTGTTATTCAACCCATAGCAGGGTGGAGAAGAGATGGATTCATACCTTTCCCAAAGGGTATTTGCACATAAGTGAATGTAATGAACATGACTAGAATTCAAACTCAGCTCTCAGATTCTTCATTCCGAGCTGTTATCCATTTACGCCATGATGCATAACATTGAAATCAGTAATATATTAAAAAAAAATATGACTTAAGGAAATAGAAGAAAGACGAGCTGACATGGCTACAAGAACTTTCAAAAATGGAGCTTACCAGTTTCCCTCCATAATTTCTCAGCTCGTTCCATACTTGGCCAACCATCGTTATCATAGCCAAAATGAAAAGTCCAAATGGCAGCAGTGAAGATTTTTGTGGGCTGAAAATACACAAAGGAAGGCAGAAGTCTTGTATAAAAAAAAGTAATCAAGTATAAACATGTTTTTAAGTTTCAAAACATATTTCTATCATCCAATTGGAATTTATTATTGTAGCATTTTGATTACATACAAGCACACATTATTTTTATTTATTTATTTATTTTTTTTTTTTTTAAATCACTCCCCACTCCACATCATTGTAAGTGAAAGAGAATGAGAAGAATTGCAAAGAAAGGACAATAAAAGTTCAAGAAGAAAGAAGATGGCAATTGGCATTGCATTTAAATTTTTCAAGATTGCAGGGAAGCAAGAAATTGGGAGGGAGTTCCTCAGGCGAGAAGTGCAAGAAAAGAAACTATTAGAATAGAACTGACACTTACATCTAGCTAGTTGAATAGTAAACAGTCTTTTGTTTTGTTTTTTTTATAGATTTTCCCATTTGTCTTATTATCTTCATGTACAATAAAATGTAAACATTTACTCTCAGGTAACTAATAGATGTAGAGTAGAGATATTTATTTTATTTTATTTTTTTTTTTTACTAATATTCACCCAATACGAGGCCCAAGAGCCACTCAAGGTAGTGCATTACTGTGTGGTGTTGTATTAGTGTAAGAAAAGGGCAAGAAGTTATTGTGGATATGCAGGAAAGATAATGACTAACTCTAGACTTGAAGTCAAGATTTAATTAGTGAATAACACTTCAGAGTTCAGATGCAGACATCAGCAGATTAATGTGGAAGTAGACTTTAGAAGGAACCAGAAACCCAATCCTCTACTTCTGTTCAAAAGACCAGAGAAGTAGAAATTTTCTAAACTTTTTAAGAGCACTCACTTGATCTATTCTGCATGTTTTAACACTTTAAATGATTTCCTTTCTCCCCTTTTATTAAGACCCCCTCTGTTTATTCTATATAGAGAAAAATTCTGATTATTAAGAACCTCTCCACATAATGTTTTAGGTTATGGAATTTAAAAGGTTGTATGTGTTCAATCAAAGATTACAATCAAAGGATACAAAAACATGGGTTTCTACTACAAACTGTTTCTTTTTTTATGGCAACTGCACCGAAACAAAGTTCTCAGTGTCTCTTGGGTATGTCTGTTTTCTTTTTGGTCCAGAAGTAAGTATTACTTACATCATTGAGCTCAAGGCAACCTTGTGCAAATTTGGAACAACCAAAGAAAAGTTTGTATTTACTTTATTGTTGGAAGGTTTAAATATGGTTATGGAATGTCTATTTTTCTTTTCCTTGGTTCAGAAGTTAGAAGACTGGGAAACTAATGTTCTTAGAGGAACATAATTACCACATGATTCTACATCTTGAAGTAAAAGCAGGAAAGAGAGTGAGGGAGAAAAATGTTTGTCATTTTATAGATTTCAACAGTGTTTAGGAAGACAAGTGGGGTAATCATATTTCCAGTTTCATTTACTCTTAACATCATGGGAAAATATATTTCTTTTTCTTTTATTATTATTATTATTATTATTTCATTTATCGATTTTATTTCATTTTCCCTACAAGGCACCTAAGAGCATATATTCACAAAATCATTTCAATTCTTGTATTTATACAAACAAAAGAAGCTACATTATTTATACTCTTTGTGTCATATCCTTTCAGGACATGGACGGTCATGGTTCTCCACAGCTTCTTGTCATTTGTTGCTCTCTGCTGTTGACCTTTGTCTTGTATTTGCTTCTTCATCCATTTGTTCAAACTTGTCAAGTTGGTCACATGCTATTTTCCTATGCTTCTCTTACCTTTAATGTGTCTTGCAAGTATTAAATTCTCCAAGCCTTCTTTCCTCATTATGTGTCCTCAAAATTTCAATTATCTCTTTTCTGATCGATAGCAGCAGTTTAACTGTAGTTCCTATTTTCCTTAAAACTTCCACATCTGTCACATGCTTTGTTCATGATATTCTCATTTTTGTTTAAATGTTGTTTTGGTTCCTTAATACCTTACTTTTTGAAAAGAATCTAATGTTATTTCTTTGTGCCTTCAGATTTGTCTCACACATTTTTTTTAATACCCTGTCCAGATAGCTACTTAATTTGGATATCCCCGATGTTTAACTCACACCTTTGTATGGTCCCTTTTGCTCACAACACACAAAGAACTTTTATTTAGAAAAACATAGCATATTCTTTAAGTCAGCTTATGATAAATGAAAACAAAAGCCTTTTGATATTTATTAAAGCACTCACCTTAGGTGGTTCGAATTCTTGAGATTTATATCTTGACCCGAACCCCAAGAGACCAACACAAGTAATGATGAATAATACTGCAAAAATAAAAAAAAGTGACAAATAGATTAAATAATCCAAGTAACATTTTCTCTTTAATGGTTATAGAGTTTTAATGTAATCTGTGATTCAGAGAGCTGATTCTCTGGTTATATATTTCTCCTCCCTTCCAATGATTTTAGTCGTTGTGCGTACATATTTATGTTTTATCCTTGATTGAAGAGGATGAAGCAATAACTGGTTAGCTTTTTTTTTTTATTGTTGTTTCTTTGTTATTTTATGTTTTGATTCACAACTTTATGGTGAGTAATGTTTTTTTTTATCTTTCACCCCACCTTTGTTTTAATATATATGCATATATTATGTAAATATATACCCTTTTAAAATGTCTGTTTTTAAACCCATAATAAGAATAGACTGGGCACTTCGATGTGATGTAATGGTTAACAAGCTTGTCTTACTAGATCAATCACGATTGAGGAGTCAGTTTGATCCGAATTGGGTGCCCCACAATTTTGGCCTTGTGGCACGTATAAGCTATGCTTAGAAAATCACCATAAAAGGAATAGATAAAGAAAAATTGATGCTTTTGTATGATACACATAAAAGAAAAAAAAAAAACAAGATTATTACAGGTGACCACTTAGAACTAATATACAGAATGCGATGGATAAATTGTCGTCGAAATAACACAAAAATGTAAATAATACTGACATCTCATTTTAACAGATATATTTACCAAAATGACACACTAAAGAGTAAATTTATTCAATAAAATCCTCATTGGCAAAAACCACAGCCTTCAGACAACTTCAGAATCTCTTGCATCTCTTCTGGATGGTCTCCTTAAGTTGGTGATTACTGTCATAATCTTTGCCTGCAGTTCTTTGGTGCAGAGACATAGGTTCTTCCAGCAGCCACCCTCTTGACCCAAGGCAGCACTACTTCCTCAGGACACTTGATGTAGGTCTCCGTGTTGAATCTGAGACCCCGTTGGAAGATGAATGGAGGCATAACATTGCCATCACTAGTGATCACTTCCAACATCTTCATAATCACCATCAGACTCATCCAACTCTTTTTGAATCCTCTACACTGTCCTCAGAATGACATCTAAACACTCTGAAATGTTTGTATTGGAGCTTTTGTTGTTAATGCCAAGCATACCATTTCCAAATTTGTGGCAGAGTGAATTGCATTATAATGCTCTTTTTCTCACAGATGGTTCCCAACTGACCCTACTATACTGTGAAGTCAACAAAATCAAAAACATTGTGCATGTGCAAAATTAAAAATATAAAATGGTGACAATTTACACATCACTCCCCGTATTTTAGACAAAAAAAAAAAAAAATTCATATTAAAGTTTAAAATAAAATTTTGTAATTACTGAGAATCTGACAAAATCACTTATATTTTAAATAAACTTTCAACCTTGTATTGCTATTTATGCTATGTTACAATGAATCTGGATGGTTCTATTTTATTTAATATGCATTTTTTTTTTTTAGAAATGTGTTAACTGATTGATTTGTTTGTTTTCTAAGGATTATGAACCCTCTAAAGGTTATTTAAAGCTAGAAAATTATTTTAAATTGTAAGAATTTTTTGTGGGGAAATAATGATTTAGTTTGATCGATTCATTTTCTACAGTTTATCAACCCTTTGCAGGTTATTTAAAGCCAAAAAATACTTTTAGATTTTCAGATTTTTTTTTTTTGAGATAATGTTTTAGTAACAAAAATCTTCAGCCTGATGTGGCCATAAGCCAATGATATAGTGCCAGAAGTCTTATTAATTAACCCATAGCTGGAGTAAGAAGAGGTCAATTCATACCTTTCCCAAGGGTATTTGCATATAAGTGAATATAACAAACCCAATGGGTATTGGAACTTGGCTCTCTGATTTCCAATTCTGAGCCATTATCCATTACACCACCTGCACATCCAAGCTTACAGCACCAGGCATTCCCAAGCAGACACTTACTGAAGTACAAACAAAGCTTGGCGTTGCTTAAGTTTGAAACACTGGTTCTTGTACAATCACCAAGGTGATGTGACTGTAAGCCCATATTAACCGTGGGATTAAAATTGTTAAGTACCCAATGAATAAAATCATTAGTAATAGCCTATCAGGGACACCATTCACTGTTTTATGGAAGGGGAAATTTAAAATGTTTTCCAATTGGGGTTGAAATAAAACTTCTGATTTATCTACCTTTAGTTAGAGTGGACTGAATTTTTGCCTATTGCGATGAGCAAGTATTTTCTCAGGGAGGCAACATGTCTTGAGCATCTATTGGGTCTTAAACTCAACCCAGACCTCAAGTAGTGGAATTCGTACATACAATCCATCATTAAAGATGCTGGAACAATTGTTGGTTTCCTGTACCACTCGAGTAAGTACCTGACTCCACCTGCTATCTCCTACCTTTACAAGAGCTAGATCAGGTTGAAAATGGAGTACTGCTGCCATATATGGGCAGGAACTGTCTAGTCTTCACTTTCCAGTCCAAAAGCATATCCACAACCTTGAATTATTTTTCACCACTTTTATTTTTACATGGAAAGTGTTCAGATGAGTACATTCCTTAGTTCAACCAATTCTAACCTTCAAAACCTGTCATCCCACATAAATTATAGTGAACAACCCTCATTCCCTCTATGTGCTCAAAATTCAGAATAGTATAGTAATAGTTGTGTGTGAAACAAAACCAAGTCTTGTTACCATGAAAATCTTTGGGCAATGTTTAACCTTTGTGCTAGCAAAAAAATGGTGAGAGTCAAAAGGATGTTTTTCCCTTAACACCACTATTATTTTATACTCCCTTCACTTCCTCAACAATGTTTATTTTTTTTTTTTAAAGTGATGGTTAGAATTTTAATAAAACCCAAACATATGAAAGTGAATTTTCTTTGATCTTGAGAATTTACAACAAAAATATTAAACTCTATTGACTTTATTGAATTGTTTATTTACAAGAATAATTTTATATTTAAAACATTCTAAAAAAAAAAAAAAAAAAAAAAAAAAATACTTAAAAATGTGAACCAAGTAATACAATACAATGTTTATCATTTACCAGTTCATAAAGAAATAAATATGAAAATTTTTTATTCATAAAAATTTACTAAATTATAAAAATATGTAAAGCAATTCTAATAAAATTCTTATTATTTACCGTTTTATAAGATTTGAATCAATTTGCAATTAGCCAATGTTTTTCCAACCATTCCAAAGAACACAATTTGTCAGCTTCACTAATTAATTCTTTAGTCAAAGAGCTTAGTGTTCACTCTTCATTTAAGATTTCTACATCAGTCAGGTTGACAAATCTATTGACAGATTTTGTAGGCATTTTTAGAAAAATTAGCAATGATTTAAGAATTTTTTTCAAAATTATATTTGAAAAAAAAAAAAAAGAAAAAAAAATGAGTAGGAAGAGTGGGGGAATCTATAATTGCTGGAATTTCAGGACTTCTATTGATAAAGCATCCTTGATCATAGATTATGATAAGAAAAATTAGGAAATTAAAACAAAAAGCAATCCGAGATATGAAAAAGAAGAAAATGTATAACGTCCATAAAAATCATGTTTATTTAAATTGTCTTGTTCTGTATATCACAGATATTTTTTATAAAATTATCAATAAAAAAAACTTTTCTTAGTTATTTATTTATAAAATGTTAAATAATAAATTTTGCATCATAGTTGGTTCACATACTTTACAAATTGTAGATTTTTATAAATTTTTCTTTTCAAATTTATTTCTTTATGCGATGGTAAATAATAAATGTCAGGTTGTATTTGGGTCACATATTTTTATAACCTTATAAATACACATTGCTGAGGGAGTCTCAGTAGTATGTAGTAATACTGATGTTTAAAAAAAAAAAAAAATCGTTTTGAAATACTTTTTTTAATGTGGGCATGAAGGTTAAATCCATTTACACCAAACCAATTCTTACCTTTCTTTGCCAGTTTGCTGTAGTCACCAACTTTTAGGTCAACATATGCAACAGACGAATTACCACACTCTGAGCTGCCACCTGAAAGTGAAAAGTGAAGAAAATCAGATGAAAGCACAAATTTTCTGAAACTGTTTTAAACCCAAGCAAAGAAATTACACCACCCACACATTCAAGCTTTTGGCACCTGGTATTCCCAAGCAGTTACCCATCTAAGTACTGACCAGGCTTGATGTTGCTTAACTTCGATTATCAGGCAAGAATTGGGGTTTCAATGTGGTATCCAATGCACCACCTGCACATCCAAGGTTACAGCACCTGGTATTCCCAAGCAGTCACCCATCTAGATAGTGACCAGTCTTGACATTGGTGATCATATGAGAACCAATGTTTCAACATGATATGGCCATAAGCATTTGTAATAAAGTCATATACCAATGTAATAATATCAATTATGTGATGTTCAGTAATCTGTCATATATAAAAAGTAGCAAAAAAAAAAAAAAATTATATACACACACATATATATATATATATATATATATATATATATATATATATATATATATTTTTATTTAAATGTGGAATTGAGAGAGAAAGTGACACTGAACAAAGGACAGATATCCTTTATTTCAAATCGTATGTTAAAGCCAAGAAGTAGGACCTGGGTACAAAAAATATGGTTGAATGCTTACTGGTTGTTTTAAATACATGTTCTTTGGCCAAATCTACATCAGCACATGGCAACATGTCCTTAACCTCATGATTCCATTTTATTTGAAACCTACTGTCTCTCTTTTATTCTATCACTTGGCTCTTTAGTCAAGCCATGTTATAGAATACAAGTGGGTACATCTTAACATTCTGATGTTTTGTCACTGAAACACTGATTTTGGAAAGTGGGTATGGCCAATAGCATGCAGAAGGAGATGCAGAGGGTGCAACAGCTTCAGGCATCCATATTGTGAGAGCAGGCATCCATATTGTGAGAGCAGCCAATCAAAGAGTGAAATAAAAATTTAGTTTATATTTGATTTGAATAAACTGTTTATTACATATTTAAAATGTCTTCCTTTCTCACATTTCCCTATAGGCCCCCCCTACTTGAGTTTTGTGGACATATAATCAAAGACTTGGTCCCAGGCATCATGAAACATCACCGAACCTCTGCACATTACTGCGTATGGCCAAGGATTTTCCAGCACCTTTTAAATTAAACTCTTGTGAAAGTTGTGGAGCTAGTATTCACTTTCAATGAAGAGATGTGCAAAATGAAAAGTACACACAAAATTGCTTACCAACAAAATATCCAAGAAGTAACATGACAGAAATAAAAGCAATGAGATATTCGGTGTGCTCTCGAGTGTACAATCCACCAGGGACAAAATTGTAAGCAATTGTCCAGACAAAGAAAAGTATTTCTACAATCCATGTAAGCATGGACACAAACATTGTTCGGCCAGGTGGACACTTAGTGACTTGATCAACCATGTGTGGCCAAATGGTTAATGTGAAAACCGCCAGGAACAAGCCTCCTGGATAAAAGAAGAACAATAAAAAAAAAAAAAAAGTCAGTTTGCAGAGGAAGTACAAATTGTATTTCTCAGTAGGAAAAAAAAAACTTTTTATACACCAAGAGAACTGCTATGAAAATAATGCCTTCTATTTTATTACGTTGTTCCACAATATCAGAAATTGATGAATGACTGATTTGCTATTTATGGTTTATGAACCTTTTGCAGATTATTTAAAGACAAAAAATATTTTTAGATTTTATGAATTTGTTGGAGATAATAATGATTTACTGTTACTAGTACTACTAATTAACACATAGATGGGATGGGGAGAAGTGGATTCATAATTTTCCTCAAGGGTATTTTTGCCTAAGTTAATATGTACAAACCAACTGGAATTGGAACTTGGCTTTCTGATTTCCAATTCTGAGTCTATCAATAATGAAAGGACTCAGACAGACAATGAAGGGACTCAGACAGATTGATATGTTTTTTTTTTACAGTTTATCAACCTCTTACATATGAATCCACTCTGAAAGGTGTTGCTCCCAAGTTTACATTGTACACGCAGACAACCATCATTTGCATGAAAGCAGAACCTGGTCTCATCAATGAACAATAACAAGCACCATTTGATCTTCCAGGTAACCTTCTCAGAAATCCACTTGAAAAACGGAAGATGGTTCTGTGGCATAAGTTGAAGTCTGGCTCAAGGCAACTGTGCAAAGAATTCCCAACACTCAATTTTGCTGATAGTCAATAATATGTAGCCCTAAGACTGTAGGAATTTTTATTTGACTGCTGTTGTCAACATCATAACACCACCAATGCATCATACACAACATGTGTAACAATTCTGCAAAGGGCTCTTCATCCTCTAAAGGGCCCAAAAATCCAACCCCTTTTAGTGTGAAAACAATGTTAAAACTTTGGTTGAAGCTATAAATCAACTCAAAGTTTTTCTATTGCTTAAGTTGACTATTATAAAGTTGGTGTTTGAAGACAGATTTCATAGTTAACCTCTGGTAGTCAACGTTTTAAAATGATTACTTTTGATTAAAAATACATGGAAACTAAAATACATGCAAATGATTGCAGATATAACCGCATTATTCATTCAAAAGAAAATAAAATCTGACACCTGTGGAGTATTTATATGACTACAATGATAAAACAGAAACTAACAAGTAATAAGAAAGATACCAGCAGAAAAACTTACCGAGATATCCATACCAAGTTTTCTGGTAATAGAGTACAAAAAAACTGCAGACACCAGCAAGCCACCACAACTTGGTCTTTGTGAATGACATTTGTGATAAATATATCCCTAAGGCTAAACAAAGCAGTACTGGACATCTGGAAGAGAGAATAAAATTCTACTTTAAAGTATTATAAGAATCTGACCCAAGAAAATACTGCGAGCCTTTGATATCTTTTATAGCATCATTCATATCATAAACTGTGTCTCTTACTCTGTACCCCTCTATCTCAAGTGGTTCTTGAGCCTTGTGAAGGATGAAGATCATTGTTAAAAAAAAATTCTACTGATGGAATATCTATGATATTTTAACATAAGACAGCTGTAGGTTTAAAGTTTAAAATCAATTACAACTTTTTGTATTTTATTTTTGAGATGAGTAACTAATTTTATTTTAATCATTTCACTCCAAGCAAAGCAATAAAGCCTCTAAGGCATAAGGGAGTTACTAAGTGTGAAAGAATATAAGAAAAACATTAAGGAGTGAGAACAATAAAAGAATAGGAATTAAGAGGACAGAAGATAACAATTAACATTGCATTTAAATTTTTGAAGACCAAACTTGACTGGAAAGCAAGAAACTGAAAGAGAATTGTACAAGCAAGGAAAACTATTAACATAGAACTTAAGGTTACATGTAGCCATTTCAATTGTAAAATAATAATACTATGCTGCCAATCTAGTACTTTGCTTAAATTTATAGAGTCTAGGTACCATAGAGGAAAGTTCATCAGAACAATTACTATAAAAAAAAAAAAAAAGGCATAGGGAAGCTACATTATAGTGGTAGAAAAATGATTGAAGCAGAGATGCCAGGTCAGAACCAATAACATTGCAGATTCTTAGGATTTTATTAATGATCTCTAAATATATAGCAGGAGCACCAGACAAGATGTTGCAACAATATTCAAAGCATGGACAAATGTTAGATTTGTAAACATACAAGATAGATTCTGGTAAGAAGAATTGTCTAGTATGTGTTATGGTTCTACACAGCCAAACTCCCTAAACCTCCATACACTTTACACTTATAGCAAACCATCTCTCTTTCTTTCTCTCTTTAACTTTGACATTCACTCACTCTATTAACTTGTTGAAGTCAGCAGTCAGATGAAAAATTGGGCAGATAAACCACTGACCCTAGAAATAGAGTTTGACAAGATCTAGAAATATCATCTCACATATGTGCAGAATCATGTGATCTAATATGAAAAGCTGAGTGGGAAAAGTATCAGAAAAGTCAGTTGGAAAGCAGAGCTTGAGCAATCAACACCCTTTCCTTTGTTATAGTCAACTAAAAAGGATTGCATAATGAAGCCTACTTTTAACTCAGACACACTATACTACATATGGACATATATTTGATAGACCAAATAGTCCTAAACCAAATGCAATGGTAAATTACTCAATGTATTAATCACCTAAGACAAATGCATGTGTGATTCATCCAATTATTGAAATGGAGAAAGCATTGATTGACATAACAGAAAGAGGAATTTTATGTTGTTGAAGATGTGAAAAGGAAGCAACCATCACTTTGGGTCAAAACTGTGAAGAAAGAGAAACAGATTATAAAAGATATTCCAACATGTGTGAATATGAGATCAAAGAACTGAACTGAAAGAGAAGAGAGAAAAAAAGAAAAGTATAAAAAAAGAAAGAGAGAGGTGAGAGAAAAGAGTAAACTGGTTTTATTTCAGACAATGGACAAAATCTAAGTGTTTCTTTTAATTTTCATATCACATACACTGCACACATCTTTCCATGCAGACATGTTTCCTATATTGTTTTGTTATATAATTAAATCTTATTAAATTTTATTCCAGTGTTTCTTGTTCGTTACTATTGGTTATTTCTTATTACCCATGTGTTTGACCCTGCAAGAGAACCTACCACTAATGGAGTGGAAACCTTGGTCATATTCTTTGGCAACTTTAAAATGATGGCTGTCAAACAATTTCTTCAAGTTTATACATTCGACATTCATATATTTCCAAGTGTTCTTTTTACAAATTGCAAAAGATTGCTAAAATTCACTTGTTTTTAGGCATTTTTGTTGTTTCATCATTTCATTTCCAAAAGTATGCAGCTGCATATTGAAATGTAATAAAAAAATTGAAAGAAAAACTTAAATTAAGATAAATTTAATTTCTATTGCTTTAAATGAACTTAATGCATTGATATTATTTGAACAAAAATATGACCAAATAAAATAACTACAATTTAAAGCAAAAAAAAAAAGTTATTAAAATATATATATATATATATATATATATATATATATATTTTTTATAATATGAAAACAAATACAAAAAAAAATTATTACTTCTTGCAGATGTGCATTTCTCTATAAACACCAATATATATATATACATATATATTAAAAACTTACCCCCATGGATATGGCAAAGGTCCATGGTTTGGATAGCCCTCCACAACCCATCGACATATCAAAGACACTTCCCCAAACACCCACTCAGTAAGGAAGATCAAACTACCAAACCCAAGGCCAACAAGAAATGAGGAAGGGGGTTTGGTCTTTTTGTGGGTCTGAGGTTTTTCTTTTTGGGTCTCTCCATTTGTTAGAGATTCACACGAAACATTTTTCCCAGATTTTTCTTCTGGAGGCACATTGGTGTCTGCTGTGGCATTGTTCTCAAATTTTACAGCATTGCCATTTGTTGTCAATATTTTGTGTTTAGAATGTTTCCCACTAGTTTTCATTTCTGTTGGATCAAGGGCTTCTGTATCAGTTATATGGTCTGACCCTGAAAACAAAAGTAGAAAAGAAAAGTTACAAACATAATCAAATCTGACATTTATATTTATCATGCTTTGAGAGAGTTATGTTAAGTTCATATCACAAAGAAAACTTTAATGTTCAAGCATGAAAGACTCTTACCACTTGGAGTTGACAGCAGTGTCCACACATATTACATTTACACTTACTATCCCGGTTATTGAGTACTTTTACCTCATAAATGTAGTATATCTTAAAACTATATTTTACCTTATAAATATACAAGTATACCTTAGAAGTATATTTTATCTTATAAATATATGCGATTGCATTCAAACGTGAAAAAGACAGTTGTCACTCAATTTTGACCTCTGTGTCCTTGCTTGGTCAGGCCAAACGGGGAGCAGCATGCTTTGGATAAAAAAAAAAAAAAAAAAAAAATGGTTTCCATGATGGATAAAAGGATGCAGGTTTGATTCCTGTTGGAGGCAGAATTTTTCTTCAGTAGTACTTCTGAATCGAGGCCAGGTATTTAAAAAAAAAAAAAAAAAAAAAAAAAAAAAATAGAAACTTAACTGAACTGTACCCACTAATGTTTATTGTAGTAAAAAATGTTGGATTAAAAGTCTTAAAAAAAAAAAAAAAAATTTACTATGGTTCATGTTTTGGGTACAAAAATGAAGCTAGCAGATATAATTTTATAGAAGACCCCAACAAGATGTGCATTCCTTAAATAGGTAATTTTTTTTTAATTATTATTTCACCCCAAGCAAACAAAGCTACTAAGAATCAAGGGGTTACTGAGTGCAAAAGTACAAGAAAAACAGTAAATATATATAAACATGCGTGTCAAAAGGATGCTTTTTATCCACAACACCACTTTTTTTTTTTTTTTTTTTTAATTAGTTTCACTCTGATAAGAATTAATAATAAAACTGAA